AACAATAATAATAATAATAATAATAATAATAATAATAATAATAATGATACTTAATTCAAATTTAATATCAAAAGAAAAAGAAATATTAGCCCTATAGTAATGTCCCCTAAAAGTAAACAAAGGTTATTCTCACAAAAATGGTTAATACAAGACGGAATTATTGTAAAAATATCCTTTTTTGAATAAAAGAATTTATTTGAGCAGTAGTGTTGCACCATAGGCAGTATATAGACACGCGCGTCGTTTTATATTCCTAATATATATTTATGTTCTGTTTAACAAATAGATCAGGCTTAGATATGTTCTGCTCTCTGATAAAACACGACTGGAGCTCTAGTACACGAAAAAAGTTATAGAAATCGTAGTCAGTCGTAGGCGGACCTTGATCTCTGACCCATGTAAAAATACTGAGTTCGCGCAGGCGCAATTATAAATATCATGTATGTCATGTCATTGTGGAGCCTTCTTCGCCCATCAATCTGCGATGGCTTTATCAAAACTTACGAGAAAATTCAACCACTGGAGTATCAGCAATTTTCAACTAAGAAATATCTTTTTTTGTCTACCCTGGAAATGGCAGATTCGACATAACTTGACAACATATCAGGATTGTGTTATCAAAAAAGAAAACCAGACGACTGAGATCGACTTTTCATTGATTGACACGACAACACGCTACAAAATTCTGTGTGCTTCGATCCTCCCGCGACCCATTGCACTGGTCAGCTCGTGTTCCAGAGATGGCTTGATTCCAAACTTGGCTAATTTTAGCTTCTTCATGCCCGTTACTAGTGATCCCGCTACTCTTGCATTTTCTGTGACCAGGTATGTGTTTGTAACTCGCGGACTACTTACTCTTAAACGATATAACCGAAAAATCCTTTTTTTCTAGTATAACCCGAACTATAACCTCTAGCCTTTGTTAACAAATAATTACAAAATGCGTAGATCTAGAAAAATGGCTTATCCTAACATAAGAATACGAATAAACTAATCTAACTAGCATGACGAACGAGCAAAAAAATTGTACTTGTTTTGTTATTAGAGTAAGAGTACTCGTAGTTCTTACATGATTCAAAGTAGTCATTTGAAAAAAAAGCACTAAGTTTAGTAGTATGAGTATATATCAGCGAGGGAACTTCTTGTATTCTACAATTAAACAACAAATCCAAGAGATGTGTGACAAAGTTTATACGAGCTAAATAACATTGCTAAAATTACCGACAAACCAGCAACGAACTAGAAT